TGATCAGGTATATCACATGATAAGTTGGTGCGCCTTACGTCATGTGCAGTGATTCACCCTTGCACATATGTGCAAAAGGGATGGAGAGAGAGAGAGAGAACTTGTGCCCACAACAGTGACGATCGAAGCAACACAAAGAGAATGCCCGAAGATAGTTCTCCGTGCTTTTAGATCTCCTTGCTGGGTGTGTGTTTCATCCTCCTCCACAACTGCTTCCATCATTTGCGTAGTAAGCAGTCGATGTGTGTGTGTGTGTGTGTGTGTGTGTATGTGTGTGTGTGTGTGTGCGTGTGTGTGTGTGTGTGTGCGTGTGTGTGTGTGTGTGTGTGTTTGCGGCCATGCAGCAGACAGACATACGCTTTCTTCGTTTCTTTGCCTTGCGTTTAGATCCACTTCCCATTTCCGCATCGTTAACCTTTTTGTTCATGTCGTTTTGTCCTGTTGGTTTCGGTCATTCGCAGCTGGCACACCTTCTCAAGACAAAAGATTAGTAGCTGTTTGGGAGCAGCGGTTCAGTTTCTCGAGCCGTGCTGAGCCTTCGACTGCATTTCTTCCATCCACTTTCTCGTCAGCAACAAGCCTTTGAAGCAAAACAAGCCTTTGCCCAAAGTCGTTGAAAATGGAAAGGCTGAAGGTGCTGTCAAGCACACATCATGCTGTCGTCAAGGATTTTTTTACGAGTCGCAGAACCAACACGACTTACGGACAATCCTACATTAGTAGCAGTTCGGATTGCACGATAAAACACAGTTCTGTTGTTTTCACAAAGATTTTATTTGTGGAAAGGTGTTTTCAGCAGATCCATAACTCTGAACTCAGATGATAGGTAGGGCATACTTGCAGCTGTGCCGTGGGGTCCTGTTTGCTGGTTACCTTTCACTTTACAAATTGAGAAAAACTTGAAAAAAGATTCAAAAAATGTAGCCATCCTTTTTTTTCCACTTTTAGTGATTTGCTAATAACCTAAAGCGTCTGAAAGTCGAGAAAGAGAGGTAGCCATCCTTTTTGTTTTTAGGTTTTTTTGGTAATGCTTTGTTGTTTTATTAAAGTTTAAATCACCTGTACCTCTGAGCCTCTTTTTGCCGAGGCAGGTTAGAAACTGCACGCCAATTTTTGCCGAAGCAACAGTTTTTTTTTTTTTTTTTTTTTTTTTTTTTTTTTGGCTGGTGCCGCCAGCCATTTTGGTCCGATAGCGTCGGGACTCCGAAGAATGCGGTATAGGTAGGGTTTACACGGCATTCGTTGGGAGGTTTAAATTTTTATGCCTGTGAAAGGTAGGGTAGTGATTTAAGGCTTTAAGCCCCGACCAACTCAATCTCCTGTTAATAAAAAAAAATGATGTAGCCAATAGTAGCCAGCCTTTTGATGTTCCTGCTGATAAGCTGAAGTCTCTTAAACCACCAGCAGTACTTCCTAAAGTCGTGCCCGTTAACGCGCCACGATTTTAGGAAACCAATGTATGRATGGGCCACTACAGGAGCGCCCAAATTCATCCAACTAGAAACGTTTCTACTCTTCTTTTTTTTTTCCGCGACCGATAGCTCGGCCAAGTACTGGTGGTTTAAACTTTAAAATTTAAAATTGAGTGCAAGGATGTAGTTAATCACTGCGTCCGGTTTTTAATCTTTTCTTGGACCGAGTACTCCCATTTTCATTTTTTCCCCTTTCACCTGTTACTGGCCCTCTGGAGTCTGAACATCCTCCTTTTCTGCACTCCCCCTCCAGATGCACCCCTCCCCCACCCCTCCCCCACCCCTCCCCCCCTCTTCCCCCTTGGACACCATCACCACCACGACCACCACCTTCAGCTGTTTTAATTTCCCAAATCCTGTTTCCATTTTCTCCTTCCCGTCCGAAGACTCCATTTTCCGCCACCCCCTAATTTTCTTCCGTGGTTAATCGTCACCCAACTTGACACTGCCCACAGCTACTAGTCTTCATAAGCACATCATTTCATGGTCCAAACCCCCCCCTTTCAAAGGTAGGATGATGTATATGATTAGGCCCGATATGATGCCCGTTCTGGCTGCGAAGGGCTGGAAATGGCCAGCGAAGTTTCAAAGCAAGCAAATGATGCAAATCTGTGAAAACAGATGCCTTCTCCATGTGGAAATGAATATGCCGCATTGTGCCGAGTTTGGCAAAATCTGTCATCTCAAAACTTTTATGGCTCCAGAGCCAACTCTGTTTTACGCCAAACTCGGCAAAATGCGGCTTTCATTTTACGGCAATCTGTCATCTCTGAACCTTCCGTGAATTAATCGCCCCTCCGCGCGGTCCGATCTTTCCTTTTTCTCCCTTTGCATTTTTGTCCTTGAAGCTTCCAGCTTGTGTGTCCTCCTGACCTATTTTTGAATTTTCCTCCAAAAGCGTCCAAACCTATGTTACCAGAGTCGCCTGGCCCGGCGAGCCGTGGGAACTTGCACGGGGGGCGACCCACCCAGGGCACCCGCGCGACACCGAAAAGAGGGTCAAGTTTTTTTTTTTTTTTTTTGGCAATGGGCCCATGGGGCAATTTTGCGCCCACGGAGACGTGCACAAATCCGGCCTTATCTTGGAGTGTGGTGATATCTCACCAAAGGGTGTCTATGGGGTATAAGCAGGGTTTGAAAGGGCTTAAAGGGGCATAAAGGGGTATGATATAATTTAGTATTTTATTTTTGTTTTTAATTTCTGATTCTGTAGCGAAATTTTGTGGTCCCCCTCAAGAAGCAAAAGATGTTTGGTTTGCAAAATTGTGCACAACCTTTTTTCTTCTTTTTTGTTCTTTCTTCTTTTCCTTTTTTTCCTTTTTTTCCTTGTTTTCGGATTTCCCCCCCTTTTTTTTTCTTTTTTGTTCTTTCTTTTTTTCCTTTTTTTTCTTTTTTTCCTTGTTTTCGGATTCCCCCCCCTTTTTTCTTCTTCTTTGTTCTTTCTTTTTTTTCCCCCTCAAGAGGCAAAAGATGTTTTGTCCCTTTTTTCTTTTGCGCCGGGCCTGCCCGGGACCTTGACCGGGACTTTGCCAGAACATGGCCCGGCCGGGCCCACCTGCGCCAATCTGAGGCAACCTGGGCCATCCAGCTGGTTACCAAACACACTTTTTTCCTCTTATTTTTCTCAGTCCCTTCTCTCCTCCCTTACCTCCTACTCTTCTTTATCTACTTTTTTTTTTTTTTTTTTCCCTTGCTTCTTTATCATCTCCTCTTATTCCTGAAGGAAGACGTACTGATTATGGTGCTTTTTTTTTTTTTTTATTTGTTAATGCTTGATGGCACATGATCTTCAAGTACTAGGAGGGTAGCCCGGCAATAGACTTGAAAGGGAGTTAGCCAAACTACCAAAGATTTGGGGTTAAGGGTTTAAAGGGGGAGGGGAGGGGTCTGGAAGTGGCAGCTGTAAGCATTGTATTTGTGCCAGAATTTATTATTATTACTATTATTATTTTTTTTTATTTTTATTTTTTTTTTTGATGGACGACGGCCTTTTGATATCATCATCACAGAAACTGACCGGCCCCAGGTAATTCAGTTATTCTGAGCATCTGATTGTATCCGGTCTGGATTCGCACGCGAGTCTGTATTTCCACAGTTCACGGGTGTACCAACTGAGCCGAGCTCATTGATTGTGCCAGAATTCTTTTGACGTGGAAAGTTGGGCCAGAAGCTGCAAAACGTCTCTGTTGTCTCACCCAAAAAAGAAAAGAAAAAGAAAGAGCGACAACCTTGGGTTATCATGTTTTGAACCGACTGGCCCCAGGCAATTCAGGATTATTATGTTCTGCTTATCGGATTGCACCTCGCGTCGAACTCGGGTCTGTATTTCAACAGTTGATGGGTGGGCCAACTGAACTAGGCATGTTGGTAGAACGTCTCTTCTCGATTTTACACATTTTTCCCTTTTTTATGTCTCAGTTCTGTTCGTATGGAAGAAGAGAATGGAGGTCATTTAGTACCGATGCTTGGCAATCTTTTTTGTGGAAATGATTTATGAATTCTATCTAAACTTAGTCAATGAATAAATCAGTGGGGTGTACCAGCAGTTAGACAATTATTTTTTCCTTTCATCGACGAGGGAACTCGTAATTTATCTTTTGCCACTTCCCTCGGCGTCTCCGACGCCGCCCAGCTCTGAGAGGAGAAACCTTTCCGCGGCTCTGCGTTAACAGGTGCATTTTCTCGGGTGGTGGTTTACCGGCGGTATAAATCACCATTACCCCAGATGGCAATTGTGGGCAAAAGTTTGAGTCCCGCCGCTCGTAATCTCACTTTTGTCACGTCCCAAGGACGCCCCAGCTGCGGTAGGCGAAACATTTATATGGCGCCGTGCTAACCGGTGCCTTGTCTCGGGTAGCTGGGTAGCACGGGAAGATTCATTCCCATTTTGCAGATTCGAACAGGACAGCCACAGAGAGAGAGTCTCTCTCTCGTTCGCTCACGCGCGAGCGATTCCCGCCATCTGCTTGCGCATTGTCGCAATGACCGCTTTGTTTATTTTTCATTTTCTGTTGTTTATTTTTTTCCTTGTTCACACACCGTTCCCGCCTTCATACAGTGGGGTCGGTCGTTCCCTGCACGACCGCCCGTGTTAACGGGCGTGTATTTGTTTTCCAAGCAGGAAAACGTGTTGGTGGTTTAGAAAATCTTTAAAACGACCATTATCTCGCCCAGCTAAAAAAACTCGATGCAGCCGTTAACGCGCCGGGTGAAACAGGGTCGGTGAAGGCAAGGCCCGGTCGCGGCGAAAAGCCCGGGTTCATGCCAAGAACAAAAAAATATATAGCAAAGAATAAGTCTCATTTCCTTTCATAAAAAACAACGGAAAAACAAGGGAAAAAAACAACTGTTCTGTTTCTTTGTGCGCGCCGGAAGGGGGAGGGGGAGGGAGATGTGCGTGTGTGTGTGTGTGTGTGTCTGTGTGTGTGTGTGTGTGTGTGTGTGAGAGAGAGAGAGAGAGAGAGAGAGAGAGAGAGAGAGGGCGGATCGATTTTGCCGTTGTGCAAAACGAGAATGAATCTTGCTGCCCTCTCGTGGAAGATTTAATCTCATTTTTTACTTTTGTGTCCACGCCGAGTTTGTGTGTGTGTGTGTGTGTGTGTGTGTGTGTGTGTATGTGTGTGTGTGCGTGTGTGTGTGTGTGTGTGTGTGTGAGAGAGAGAGAGAGAGAGAGAGGGCCCCGACACGTTCGCTGCGCCAGTTCGCGCTGCTCGCGGGGTCTTTCTCTCTCTCTCTCTCTCTCTCTCTCTCTCTCTCTCTCTCTCTCTCTCCTCCTCCCCCCCCCGGTGTGCATTCAGAAAAAGTATCTGTTTCTTTTACTGTTCTTTGTTTTTCTCACCTCCCGGTGGACGTTCAGAAAAAGTATCTGTTTATTTTAACTGTTTTTGTTTTTCTTTTCTTTTTGTTTTTAGAATGAAGAATATTGTCGATTTTTTTTGCCTTTTTTTTTTTT